AAAACAGGCTCAAGAGAAGTGCTGTCGACTACGGTCAACATTTACCCAATAAGCGTGAGGAGGAATGTGACTCCCTAACTACCTGTAACTTAGCAATCCTGATTTGTTGTGTGCCTCAAAGGGATAGGTAAACTGAGACTCAAAACTGCAAACAGTTGAGACTTTATGAAATATTCGATGGTTATCTAAACCTAAACAGAGTTACTTGGGTACCACTCTGGAAGAGTTCTCACACTAACAAAGTGATTCCTTTCCAGTATTAAATCCACTGACACAGAAAACTTGTATTTATTTTTCTCTCATCTCAAGAAGATATTGTAGGATGAGGAATTGCTACCTGAGAAACTACTAGAATCTTGTAACAACCACAGTAAATAATACGCACTTCCTATACATAAGTTGTAACTTTTCTTTTTTGGACAGAGATCTAACAGGCACAAGTTCTACCATACTTATTTTCCACATAACAGAGACGCATGTTTACACAACACTTACAATAGAAAGCAAGATTGTTACAAGCCTTTCATCCCCCCAACCCCTAAAAATTCGCAGCAGGGGCTGAAACTTAGGATAGGTCAAAATCACTAATTTTTTCCTAATAAAGCTAACAGTCCCTCTATCATCAACGGAGACAGAGTGCCTCACTGAGAGGTGGAAAACAGGCACATCACACTCCTCCTTCGAAACTACAGTTTAAAGCTCCCTCTCCTCAGACTACAAAAGCCACTTCAAGAGATGGGCCTCCACAGGCCAGAGGTGACCTCTGTGCATATCCCACACTCCCCCTCTCACTTCGTCATGAGCTGGCCAAGAAATGGAGTAGCATGCTTTATGCAAGGACCTTTGTCAGGCTTCATCAACTGGCCAAAATCCGCTATATACATACCTATTCAAACTATAATTCTGTGACCTGCCGAATACGGCCCAGAGTATGATGGACCCCAGGTCCTGCGGTCACCTTTAACACAGCAGAAGAGACAGAAGAACCTACACAAATGTACAGCTGCTGGCTGCAACAGCCAGAGGTAGGGAGACCTATAACATTGCACTCCACCCTTCCATCTTTGTTTTTTCCTCCCCTTTCTTCATTTGTCCTTTCTCCGCAAACCTGCCCATCACCAAAAGCCTCAAAGAAAATATCTTTCTGATGTCCCAAAACATAAACAGGTTTATTTAGTCTCAGCTCCATGTATTTGGAAATCCCAGATCTTTCTTCCTTCCACATGCTTTCTTCTGTTCCTTCATAAGAAGTGAAAAAGCTACTAAATCATGGTCTCCCCTAACATCCAGCTGTCCAAGATTTCAAGTACCTTTGTAATGGTAGGACAGTACCTTGTGCCCAAGCTGAGCTGCCTCTCCCCGAGCTGCAGTAGCTATGGGATCAATGAGGTGGCCAATTTCCTGGACGACTGATGTCAGCTGCTCCTGTAGAGCCTAATATAAAGAGAAATTGTCCGTTACTATCACAGCTGTTCTTTTAATCGAGTTGTACCATACCATAACAATCACCCTCAGACCAACCAACACACTTAGAATGCTGTTCAAATGACTGACTACAGTGGGATGCAGAAATCCACGCTGTTAGTTTTCTTTACATACTTGCTTATTTCTTCTCCTTTACCCTGTTTAAACAACAAAAGCCCCGAGATGGGCCTGCTCCTATTTGGATTTATTCGGCAAGTCTGGGGAGAGAGGGGGGAAAGTGGATCCCCTCCTACTCCAGCTGATAGTAGCAAATTGAGGAGTAGGTGTCCTTTCTCACTGCAATGTGACAACCCCCCCAAACTATTCTTGCCCTTCCAAAGATTTAGTATCACTGCACCGATCACAGAAACCAGCAGGAGCTCCGATTTAAAAACAAAGAAACATTCTTCAAAGCAGACAGTACAGCACAAGAGCAAAAATCTCTGCTGTAGACTTTGAAGCTAGTAGGAGAAATTCACCTATAAGGAAAGACAAAGGAAAAATACAACAGATCTGAGGGACAGAGATTTGGACTGACTTCCTGAATAACGTGTGTAGACAGGAGCATAAGAAAAGCCTATTACTGGGCTTGTCAAGACATAAATACTGGCTTTTAATTAGAGCCACTGGCCAGTGGCTGGGGTTTAGCTCCCCCTCATGAAAGGCAAAAGATTTTCGCACTTTATTACATTCCTGTACTGCTTTATAAATAACTGCCATTTTCAGTAACATTTATTTCAGTTTGACATGGTGTCTGAGATTACTTCATTATTTAAATAGAAAAGAATTATATCTATTACATATCTCCTGTACTAACTTCTTTTGTATAGCTTCACTTAGTCTGAAATGTTTCTAATATCTAGCGTTACAGCCCAAAGAAACCACTGGAATACACAAACAGACACGTAATTTCAGGAAGCAATAGTACAAAAAGACACAAAATACCAAGCTGAGATTCTCATCATGTGTTGCTGACCTTTTGTAGGCAGTCTGGCACGACAGCCCTTCCTCAATTAGATAAAGGCTGAAATAGCACAGCATTCGTCTACATTACCACGGGGTGGGGCAGGGGGTAAGAAATTTTTTTTTAATGAGAACATATCAACATCAACTCCAGATTTCACTTATTTAATGAAAAATAGGCATAAAGAAAAATGACTTAAACATTTACATCACTGGACATCTAGTAATAGATCAGTTCCGGAAACATCCCGACTTCCACATGGCAAGGCACTAGTAAAACACTAACTATAAGTTGGTCACATCAGCACAGGAAGTGTAATATATGGGGGGTGGTTAAAAATAACTGCTTTCACCTCTCCTTCTGCCTGGTGATTTCTTTCCAGAAATGATACACTTTGGCTAGTGTGTGATTTTGCCTAGCACGATTTCAGTAAGAATACTTCTCCCCTCACTGGTAGATTGTGCCAAGTGCTCAGCTCCAAATGGAAAGAAAAGCAGCAGAGTAAGTGTGGCTGCTCAGCACGACACTGTCCCCATGCTATCTCCCTTACCTCAACTGAGATATCATCCCTGGTGGCCAGACTCTGACTGACAGCTGCAAGGGAAGCCTGCTCGATGTCTCTGATGCATCTGTTGATCCCATCAATGGAGAAATCACATTCTCGCTGGCCTGGGGCCTTGTCCCTGAAAGACAGAGACAGTAAGCTGAGCGTGGTGGAAAGTAGGCAGGCTCTTTCAGGAATGCACAAAAGCATACTTCATTACCTGACCACACATAAAACACGTGGCAGGAAAGCAACAAGGACAAAAATTAACTTTGTTCTATCTACAGGATTTTGATGTATGTACAGAGTACTCTGCACTTTCACACACACACACAAACACCACTCCTCTCAACAACAACAAAAAAATTATTGTTGCCTCGGAAGAAAAGTGCAAATTCCACTTCTTTGGGATGGCCAGACTGGCCCCATAATGAAGGTCAACATGAAAATGCAATAGACTCCAGGAAGAAATATTCACATTTCTGTACAGTGCGATCGACTGTCCCAGAAGACAACTCCTTAGTTATTAGGTGTTACATTCAGTCCAAGGTATCCTTTAATGAAGGTTAGTTTGGAGGAGTTCATCCTGACATGCAGTTTGCTGTTTCAGTACAATCCTTATCAAAGACCAATGAAACTGTAAACACTCCTTAGTTGTTTATATTTAATCAATATTAAGAGGTTAAGTATAGATCTACACTTTAAAATTTCCAATAAGAAAGGGATAGATAGGTTTAGTCCAAACAATAAAGAATATTCACTTCTTGATACAGCATTCTTGCCACTAAACTGAGAACACTATAGTAAAGAATAGATAGCAAAGGCAATTTATACGGTCTGACCCACCTTAAAAAAACCAAACATATGCTGTTTTGCACGTACTATATGTTGATACGTGATCTGGATGGAGGTAATATTAGCTACGCCTTTTTTATGCTACAGCTTTCTATTACATTTACCTTAAACCAAATTGGAGGCGGAACCAGGGAAGGAGAAAAGAATGCAAAGAACAACCCTACGCTGCAGAGTGCTGGAGTCATCGATTATGATTAAACACCCAGCATAACTGGGGAGGTATTGTGCATCACAGAATAAATAATTTCCATTAGTGAAAAATACCACAGTTCTAATGGCCATACACTATTACTCTTTGTGAACGGCTGCTCAATTACTACGGCTTAAATATAGACACAAAGTTATACAAAAGACATACCTGATAGAGGTGATAAGACTCTTGATAGAATCCGAGACAGTATGGGAATGCCCAGCTAGCACAGACCACGTAGGAGGGTCTTTTGGATTGATAGCCAGAGAACGAGCAGTTTTGATCAATAGAGATGAGCTCTCCAACATTGTTTTGGCAGAAATTAGAATTGGTTCCTGTGCTCGCGATCCCTGTGGTCAGAAAGGTACAAGAACACAAAGAACATTTAAATAATTATTTGAGTTCGTCCATGCTTTGTGCCCCTAAAAATCTGTTTAATTAACAGCATTAAAAATGGCACGATCATTTCTTGTGTCATACTACCATATGCATAGATAGTCAACACAGAAATAGTACTGATATCAGCGCAGTCCAACTGTTTTCTCTGCAACATACTTAAGAAACACTTGTCAAGTTTAGAAAGACACTATCCAGATGAGAAACAAGAGAAACACTGACACTTGTCTAATCATAGAATATGGAGATATCATTGAAAATAAACTTTATTTGTCACAAAACTTGCAAGATCCAACCAAGCGTGCCCTTTTCCCAGGAATTAGTTGGACTACAACACTGTAATTGGGTCATCATCTCCATATCTATTTTATCGCCAGTAATCTGGTAAACCCAGGTACCACAGGCCTGGAAGACAGGCTTGGATCTCAGTTACAGCCCCACAACTTTATGACTGCAACAGTTACTGCATCATGTGATATTGCCAGCTGGAATGGAGGCTGCCAAAAGCAGGAAGGAGCAGTTGCAGAATCAGTAATGATACATGATCCTCTACTTCGAAGCTTTTATGAAGCTCAAAGGATTTATTTTATTATTTATTTTTCCCCTGAGGGAAAAAACCCCACTTTTATTAGTTACTTCAAATACTATTCTGCTGTAGTTGAGGATGAAGAACTCAGGAAAAAAATACAGAAGGCCCATAGAAAGTTATTCTTCCCAGAAAACCAGCTTCTTGTCATGACTGCATCATTTTTGGAAGGGAAAAACCCCAGCGATGTCCCTTCAATCCTTTTCAGAAGTGCTCTTGAGGGAAAAAGGGATATTTATTACTTTACCACATGGAGGAATCCAGCTTACAAGACGTGAGTCACTTGTACTGTATCACTTTACTAACAGCAGATTGGCAGCACTTAATGTAGCCTACCCAGTTTTATCCCACCGGTGCAAAATTCAAGGTCAGAGGTGAAGCAAAAGACAGCAGAATGCCTTACGAACACCCAGGAATGCAGACACGCATTTCAGGGCCAGGTCTTTACACTCACTTCCTCTCTCCCGACACATGATTAATTCAACATTTTCAACTTCTTGAGGGTGGAAGTGTAACATCCTGCCTTACCTCGCTGCTGATCTGGGCTGGTATGCTGACAAATTCTGGATTTGAAGCAAATGCTGTCAAATTTTCCACCGCCTCTATCAAAGGTGCAGTAGCAATTCTGCACTTGTTGCGGTTCTCTTCAGAGAAATCACCATCCAGAGCCTGAAAATTAAATCATGATTGAGTTCTGTCTGAATAGGCTTCTTTGCCAAACTGAAGGAAGATGGCTTAATTCTTCACAGTTTTAAATGGCTGTGTGCTTATGACATGTGAAAGTTCTTCCACAAACAAGGCTGACACAAACAATGTGATCCTTTAAGCACGCTTTTGGGATGGCCAGACTGGCCCCATAATGAAGGTCAACGTGAAAATGCAATAGACTCCAGGAAGAAATATTCATGTTTCTGTACAGTGCGATCGACTGTCCCAGAAGACAACTCCTTAGTTATTAGGTGTTACATTCAGTCCAAGGTATCCTTTAATGAAGGTTAGTTTGGAGGAGTTCATCCTGACATGCAGTTTGCTGTTTCAGTACAATCCTTATCAAAGATCTTTACTTAGCTGGTTATTGACCCTTAACTTAAAACTGCTGCTTTGCTTCACAAGACTGAAAAAAGGTTTTCTATCACTGCACTCTGATGACTTTCATAAAACATATCTCAGCACCTCATGTTCCAAAGGGTGGGAGTGGCTAACAAGTTGGTTCTTTCCTATAAACTGATGTAAAAAAAAAAAGTTCTTTTTTTAAGCAAACCAATAACTTATTGGTCTCATTTTCACACGAGTCAGCTGTGTGAAACACCTCTTTCATGGAAAAGATTTCATCTCTTTCTCATCGGAAAGATTTCAATATGAAGGACCTTCTGTATAATGTAACAAAACCTCCCAGTTCTAAGAGCATAATTATTTTAAAAGACTTTCAGTAGCAGACAGGCTAATGGCTTCCAGAAGGGTTTAAGACTGTGAATCCTCTATGGCTTAACAAGTATTTCTGCTTGCATGAGGAAAAGCTGTCTCCTGCCAAATTGCAGGCAGGTATCTGGAAAATAAAAGATTACTATTAACAGGAGACTATTAAACAGCAGCAATATAAAAGGCTTCTGTTTGTTTCCCAGTATTTTTTTTCTTTATTTTTCTCTTATAAATACGGTAAAGCTGTCACAAATACCTCCAACAAACCTCCAGATATTGACCAATGTAACACCATTAAAAGGCTTCACATTCAGTTGTTTGCAGATTACTCACATGGTGCAAGCTCATTCGGTATACCAACACAGTGGTGTCTCATACTGGACAGGCCAGCTGCCTCTCCTAACACTAGTATCGCCCAATTCTTTCCACCTTGACTACAGCACAGTTATACCACTGAATGTGTTTTCCAGTTCAGGTCTTCAAAAATGTAATTAATCATTTCTGAAACCATGCATATCACAGAAGGTAAAAAGATATTTCTAACTGTTCTGATTCTGTCTCAACGGAAAGAAATAAGAAAACCAACATAAAAGTAGAAGGAAGTACAATTAAGCAGCATTTGTACCTTGATAGTTTTAACCAGGTTAGCAGTGCTGTTTGCAACTTCCTTGGCAGACTGCACAAAGTGTCTCTTGGCAACAGGATTTGCTGTCTTTGATGAAGCGATGCGACAAGCATTGCACAAAGCAGAAGTATGTTTGGCCACAATTGTGGCAGCTGATAATACCTGTAAAAATAGATGGCACAAAACAAGCAGATTGTCAAAGGAGCATGACAGCTACTAGACTCCAGCTCTGCAAAGTCACAGTTCAAATCCACGCAACAGTTTCAAACCAAAACTCCTTTGCTTGGTCCTAACAATGACCATCTCACTGCAGTCCTCTGGAATCACCTGTGACGGGCTGCTTGCTGGATCTACCAAATTCTGGCAAGCCATCTGGATTGCTTGATTGGCTCTGGCGAACTGAATTGGGTCAACAAGACCCTGCTGACCAGCCTGACTGTTGGGATCTGAGATGCCAACCAGGTAAGCAGCCTAGAAATAGAGAAAGGAAGAAAACAATGCTAAAAAACAATGCTAAATCCGTCTTGGTTCTTTGATAAGCTTGCCCTATGTCATAGCACATGGTGGTCAGAGATTATCCAGAAAACATACTGTGAAGTACTGTTACCTTTTTTTTTTTTTCAGTAATAAATCTCCAGAATCCTCTGGAACCAAGAAAACTTATCCTTATACTTGTGAAATTTATTTAGTCAAAACAAAACTCTCCACTGTTTAAGCAGCTGGTATCCCTGGAAACATTCTTTTTCACTTGCATAGCCAATGGAAAGAGTTTTAATGGTCACAAGCAGCAGCAAATTATTTCCTGGATTAGCCACAGTTAGAGGTGGTGAGGGTTTTCATCAAGCCCAAGTAGAAAACCAATTCACAGCAAATGCAATACTGCTGAGTGTAGGACCCATCAAGTCTGCAGTTGCTGGTCTCACTGCAGCTCAAGATGTCTGATGGCCAAACTTTCTTTCTCAATAAATAAAGTCTACAAGGAGGAATTGTTTGAACTGTCAAAACTGTATTTGAAGGTTTCTTGATGAATTTCCATTACAGATAAAAGTATCTGTCACCTTGATGTGCCAGTAAGGCAATGCAGGGTCAGATGTGGAGAAGATCAAGTCTGTACTGAGACATTCCATATTTGGGGAAATCAAGAAGCAGTTTCCAGATCCAGAGCACGATCCCCCACAGCCAAATCCTTCATTGAAGGGGCCGTATCAGCTCTCAAGAGTTCAAGTCACCCAGTTATCAGATCAGTGAAACCACATCGACCAGTTCCAGACTCTAATTTGTTGCAGTAGCTTAAGAATTTCAGTTATTTCGAAAGTATCTGAACAGCTGAAACAGATTGCTTATTATTTAAAATGTCTGAAATTAGTAGTGCTCCTTACGAATCTTTCCAAGCTAAATCAAGCTTGATTCACTCATTTTAACTGTGGCTGGTTTTTGCACACTTCTCTATGATAAAACAGTTCAGCGCTTGAGCTGCAAACATGAATCCCATATGCTGCAGCTTTGACATTTGCTTTATCCTCAGAAAAGTTTCCTTCTCGATGTCATTTCCCTTCCTTATAAAATATGCATGTTATTGCACTCTGCTGCTTCTGCAATGTACAGCAGTGTATGCACAATTTCTGCGGATCTACACAGAGCAGGCCACCTAGTACAAGGTCACCATTTGTTGGGCCACATAGAAGTGAATCTCAGATCTACACACCCACAACATGAGCTTTCTAAAAAAATAAAACCCATATACTTACTTTACAGACTTCAGTAGCTTACCTGAGCTGCTGCCTCTGTGAGGCCACAAAGAGCCTTGGATGCAACTCCAACGCATTCTCCAAAGACTAAAAGATCCCCAGTTTTTGCATTCTGGGAAATGCCCGCCATTGATTCACCAAGAACCTCAGAAATTAAAAAACAAAGTTACCTTCCCAATATGCTTCCCTACCAAAGGCAAGTGATTCCTGGCCTTGAGCCATTTCTGGCCCACAAACTTCTTTGACTTGGCTCCCAGAAATTTTAGCTAGTTAATGACTTCACTGAATTGGGTACATTCCTCTGCGTGGCGTAAGGGATAACATATGTAGAACAACACTGGATTGACGGTGCTGAACATAAACACCATTATAGTGCAAATGAGTAGGAGAATACAGTATAGCCCTCATTATTTTTGCTATCATCCACTAGTCATCACAGCTATCTTGGCGCTAGATACATTTCATGAATTGCAAAACATGACAACCAATCCCACAGCTGCTTTTTACACATCTGGGATCTTCTTTACCCCAAATTCACTGAAATTCAGTGGAAATGAAATTGCATCTAGTCTGCTGGAACCATCTTAATGGCAGAATACACATTTATTCCCATAGTATCTCCCACTGAATTCAGTTTATTTTCTTTTAAAATTCAAAATAAGATCTGACTGCAGTAGAGCATTAGATGCAAGTTGACATGCACATCTATTAAGCACTTTCGTTTTCTTTTAGAGAAGGATCTGAGAAAATTCCAACACACCAATTAATAAGGGCAACAAAAGCAAAGCTTCAAAGACAGATGTATAGCATGGTATGTTTAAAAATAACTTGAGAGATTTCACACAGACTTTCTGATGTGCCAGAGTATCTGGACTCTTCAGACATTTGTCCAAGCTATTTTCCGCAGAACGATACAAATGATATTTCATTGCCAAGCCTCCCATTTACGCTTTGGGTCATTCTCACATAGCTCCAGTCAAAATACATGATGAAAGTATGACATGCTGTCTAATACACAGGGGAGTAAAGGAGAGGGGTGGAAACTTTAACAGCATTGCATACCAGTCACTTAAAAATTTCTTACCGAGGCAATATACCTAAGTGACCAAAAATTGAAAGTTTTATTAAGGAATGCAGAATATATTTTAGCCATAAACGATGTTCTGTGTTTCTAACATGTTTGATATGCATGTGGAAACTTCCAATAATCAAAACGCACTTTACAATTGGCACAAAGGTGAGAAAAGGAAATTACCTTTGAGTTTTCCATTACTCCCTCAATACAATCAAAATACGAGAGATCGCTCACAGGTTCATTGGGGTTATCCAGCATTCCCTTAACTGTCTGAAATAATGAAAGATACTCTGATTATTGATGGAGCCTAAAATACTGCACTGAGAAGAACATAGACCATCACAACTATCCTGCTTATACCAGTGTAATCTTACAACTTTGTCTCCAGCAAGCCAACAAAACTACACTCACTGAGGGCTCACATACAGATGAGCATGCTACACATTAAATGCTACCCTCCATTAACTAAACTGCAGTAGCTACACATTTATGCACTATGAATCTGTTGAAAGTATAGGCTAATTTGGTTTACCTCGTGTTTGTGATGAGTGATTTACGGTCAGTTAGCAATGTTCAGCTGACATGAGGTAATTTGGTTTTCTGTTAGTTGTTAACAGTCTAATACCTGTTTTCAGTACCATTTTAAGTTTCATAAATGGAATTACAAGAGCGATTAGGGAAACCAGCTACCATTTACTGAGTACTGTCTAAACACACAAAGGCCTACCAAACTAAGAGTAAGTCAGCAACCTGCCTGCCTCTTACTACTGTCAAAAGATTCCAGCAACATAGCTCCCTCTGCCAGAAAACTACACGTACTAGTTTCTGAGGTGATTCTGATTCCTGGAAATACCAACATGAAAGTCAATCACATACTCATTGAAAAGAATTGATGCATTTATATTAAAAAAACACCAAACAACTTGTAAAAGGCTGTAAAATGCAGCAGACCTACTCTTACATGTAAAAAATCTGCAATATGCCTTCTTCCAAGTTCGAAGGAACACTATTCTCTGCCAAGTATCAGGGAGAAAAGACTTAATCTTTCCGATGAAAGCGAAATCACTAAGTATAGAAAGATACTAACATCTGCATCTGATGTTTGCCTTCCACCTGAAGGAAATGTAGGCATGATTTTAAACCCTTAGACTTTTCTCATAACTAAACTGCTAACATTAAGATACACCTACGGCACTTTTACCAGCACAGCTATTGCTTTTTAAAAGCTATAGTCTAATTTAAAGCCTTACAGTAATTTAACTGTGAGAGCAAGGTGATGTGAGGAAGAAGTCATATCTAGAAAACAGTTTCCAGTTGCCTCTCATCTCTTTCTCAGTTCTCATAAACATTGCAGCAGCTCCTCATTGTTGTGCTCTGTCTTGAAATTAACTTGTAAAGCAAACAAGTTCCTGCAGCAGTTGCACTACTATGGAGACAGCAGCCCTCAGAATGTAAGGAAAAGGAATGGCAAAACACAAGCCAGCATAACTTCCCACTGACACATGTTCACTATTACTATAACACCTTTGTCAATCTTTTCAGCTGAAAATTTGGGCAAGCTTAGCTAACTCATTGGAGGCTATACAGTAAGGTTCTCGCTAAGCACTGTTTTCCAGAGTCTCCAGGGAAGACTACAGAGCATACTGAGAGTCTATCAAATCCAAGCTGAAACACACTCTTACTACAGAAACAATACTTTTTAGTACTTTCAAGAAGCCTTGGGGAGACTAGAAAGAGTAGGTGATGAATTGCAGAAATGAAGGGAAGAGGTAAGAGCCTAATCAGTGTAAAAAACTGAAAGTTAAGACTACTAAGAATGCTTTCCCCAAAATTTGATAGGTTCCTCAGGTGACTTTGATACCAGTCTTCAGTCTCCTTTCAGGACTGTGTGGTTTTGCCTTAGTTTCCCTTTTGTCAGAAATTAATCTGATTTTATCCACCCAGGCTTTTCTCACTAACTGTCCCTCTCAGGCAAGTGTACAGATCTTCCTTCTGCCCTTCCCAGGTTCTGCTTGCAAGCCATGCTATTCGCAACAGAACGCTCTACAATGGCTTCTTAAGGCTGTTCTGCCCCTAAACTTTCAGTTTTCTGTGGCTCGTTAGCTTGGAATTTTGACCTTTCACTTCCTTGCTGTTTTGCAGATCTCTCCCCATTAGTCTTTCAGGAAGTCCTGAGAAATGGTGCTTCATTCCACCCGGCTGCTCCACCCCTACATTCTGCAGTGATTTTGGGCAGCCATAACATTATGGCACAATTTTCAGTTTTCTCTTTCTATTATAATTTGGGCTTGCTGCCACTCCCTTTAACTAAGGGGAGAACACTTCTAAGCTCAAGTAGTTAAGAATTCAAAAGTACAAAGAAGCTTCTAGGCAAACTCCTACCAATATTTTGGGATGGTGACTGTAGACTTGCATACTACAAAAGCTCACAATATTCTGGGATGCGCTTGCAGTCACCTTTGTATCTTTTTGATACCAAAGGGTAGAAATAAAAAGCTTGAAGATGTTTTATGTTCTCTACACAGGCCTGTCATCTCTTGATGTTCTGACCTTGACAGCAAACAAACATTTAGTTTAATTAAAAAGATGCTATTTCCTACTATTGTAAGCAGCTATCTTTCTGATCAGTGCACAGCCTTTCAACTGACCTGCTACCCAGTATTTAGCCAAACATTTCACTCATGAAACAGAACATAACTTGCAAAAACCTGTATTGACACACATCGTATCAGCTTGGCTGTGACAAAACAGACAAGGCATCAAAAATCTACACTAAGAAATGGCAGGGAGTGACAAGGTAAAAGATGGTAAACATCATCCTAAAGTGGTATGTCAGTAACAACATTCTACAAGCAGAAAAATCAGGATTCTGCAACTCCCTCCAGTGCACTGCCAGTAGCGGTCATCTCGTTATGATTCTTCCTTAATTCATATTAAGGAATAATAATAAGGGCTAAACTGTACCTTTTGAGGGGCAGGGAAGAGGAGATGGGGACAGGGCAGCAAACTTATTTCTGGCCAAAACTACCAGATGTTCACAGAGGTTCTGCGCTTACCTCATATGCAATTAAAACCCCTGACACATATCAAGTGAGAAGACAGAGAGAGCAGCTAATTGGACAAAAAGAAAAAGGGAAACATTCGGGCCCTATTTTTTTCATAAGAATTTTGAAATGTAGTAATACCTCCAGTTCTCTGAGTGCATTATCACATTCCTTCTGCCCAGGAGCTTGCTGGGTGCACAGTGTGATGAGCTGGTTTATACTCTCAGTCACAGCTCTAGGGAGAGTAGAAGGAAAAAAGGCATATATTAAAGTTAAATTATTCCTATTAAAACTATTTTTTCATTACCTGTACACTGCATAAAGATTTAAAACTTTGATGTTCTACTAGGTGTTTTGTTTTCAGTGTTTGGGGATTAACTGTATAATAAACAGTTTACCTAGCTAGAGACCTCTTCTTTAACAAGGTTCATAGGCACAAAAACATTCTCACTAAAACATTTGATACTGGTCCACACCTGAAAATCTATCCCTTCAGTGAAAACAATTGAGAAGCTAGCCCGGAAGAAACAGAAGCTTCATCTCACAGCAACAAGGTTTTGGCTGCAGGGGTGGCTTCTGTGAGAAGAGGCCAGGGGCTGCCCCATGCCAGGTACAGCTGGTTCCAGATGGCTCCAACAGACCCACCACAGGACACAGCTGAGCCAAGCTGGTGGCACCTCTGGGGAAAACACCATTAAGAAAGGGTAAAACACCATCTGGCAGCAGACCAAGGTCAACCCACTACACTAGCACAGTGACATAACTTCGCTGCTAAAAGGTATTTTTGCATTTCTCCATGTCTGACAAACTGAATCATTTCTCAACTAGCACCCCAGAAGTCTTAAAAGACAGACAAGCGGCCAGTATGTCAAAAAATATTTGAATGTAAAGTCATATTATATACCCTTTGCTAGGAAAGTTTTGTGTCTTGTATGACATACTGAATTACATGCACAATGCTGCTATGTATTTCTATAGTCTTAACAAGTTGCTTTTTTTCCTCTTCAAGTAATCATTGATATTATCCAAGTCAACATGCATCAGCTCCCTTAGGTTTAAATCCACAGAGAACAAGATATTTTCTATGGGAGTTCATAGTTCCAGTGCTCTTGAACACAGGCTGAATCTGACATACAATATAGTCACTACCTGTGTTTTCCAATGAATGTTCTGATATTAAGCAATATTAATGATAATTACATTAATTTTAGACTAACAGCAAACCACCCAGAAAAGTAGCTTCTAGAAGAGGCTTTGCAGGAGGAAGTAGTAGTCTGCCGTTTGTTGTTATTCATCAAAGATAATTTTCTATAGCTCGGCATGTTGTCACCAATTTGCAAAAACTTAGCTTGTATTGTGACATTATAGTGGAACGCAAGTTTTTTTGTGTTGTTTCTCATGGCAAATTAGAAAATGAGTGAAATCGGAGTGCACGAAGAACATGCTTTCCTCTGACCTTGAGAACTCTGCATGGCATTTGGATTGTTTTTTCTTTAAGAAAACTGGCACTTGATAACATGATTGTTAACATCAATAACATGATTACCTAGATGGATGGTATTATACTCTTATAAAAGGAAACGGGATGTGCTTATTCCATATACACCAGGTTTTATGCTTAATTCCAGGGCAAAAAGAATGGAAGCTACTAGATATATTTTTTTAATTGACACTCATATCTTTTTCAGTACCTTTGGCATCCTCACGGACCCCTCTTTCCTGAATTCTTCTGCCTTTTAGGACTGTTACATATATATGTCTTTTGTCCTGTCTGGCATACTGTATTATACATATGTAGTCCTGCTATATATTTATATAGTCTGTTATATCAAGTTTCATTTTTTTCTTTAGCTAATCATTGATATTCTCTGAGTCAATATGTGTGCGTGTGTGTATAGAAATATTTTTACAATTATTATCTAGCTCTGAAAAACAGCATGTATGGCTTCATCAACATACTGTCCATACAAACAATGGATTCTCGACCTCCTGAACATCAGTGATTTCTATGCATCAGAAAAATGTCATTGCATACAGACATATAAATAGATGGCAAAAATGGAAAGGTCTGTTCACTCCCACAGAAACTTCATGCAGAAATATCTTGTCCACTGTTGATTTTAATCTAAGAGAGACAATGCCCGCTGAGTCAGAGAATATCAGCGATAAAAGAAAAAACTCCAAACTTGATAATAGCCTAGAATTGTCAGCTTGGTGGAGGATGCAGTGTGGTCTCATGAATATCATTACTACACACCAAGTACCTGTACCCAGGGATACACCTAATGTACAAGCATTACTTTTAAAACTACTTGGAAGCAGTAGAACCAGGAAGGTTGCTCCTCAAACACCAACCCCAGAATGAAAAAGGACTGCTAGGACTCTAAAAGCCACATTTGTTTTTATCAAATACAGCATATAAATACTTGGATCGTGCAGCAAACAGCCCGTTGCAGTCCTCTGAGACTGTCAAAGGAAGTCAATAAAAATGCCTCCACAAGGAGGCCAAAGCTACTGAAAAGGTTGGGAGTGTCTATTATAGCTGGAACAAATGGGGAAGAAAGGAAAGAAAACACAAGATTAATCCCACTACTGTAAAAGATGAGGGGAAAAATGAGAAGATAAGCCATCTTATAAACAGGAAGCAAAGAGAGCTGTACCTCTTTTTTTCATTTTCATGAGAAAAGAGAAAGTAAAAATAGTTGACCTTCACC